GAGTACTTGCTCTAGTGTGGTAGACTTGTTGGTGGCTTTCCGAGTACTTGCTCTAGTGTGGTAAACTTGTTGGTGGCTTTATGAATACTTGCTCTAGTGTGGTAGACTTGTTGGTGGCTTTCCGAGTACTTGCTCTAGTGTGGTAGACTTGTTGGTGGCTGTCCGAGTACTTGCTCTAGTGTGGTAGACTTTATGGTGGCTTTATGAGTACTTGCTCTAGTGTGGTAGACGTGTTGGTGGCTTTCCGAGTACTTGCTCTAGTGTGGTTGACTTGATGGTGGCTTTATGAGTACTTGCTCTAGTGTGGTGGACTTTATGGTGGCTTTATGAGTACTTGCTCTAGTGTGGTAGACTTGTTGGTGGCTTTATGAGTACTTGCGCTAGTGTGATAGAATTGTTGGTGGCTTTATGAGTACTTGCTCTAGTGAGGTAGACTTGTTGGTGGCTTTATGAGTACTTGATCTAGTGTGGTAGACTTGTTGGTGGCTTTATGAGTACTTGCTCTTGTGTGGTGGACTTTATGGTGGCTTTATGAGTACTTGCTCTAGTGTGGTGGACTTGTTGGTGGCTTTATGATTACTTGCTCTTGTGTGGTGGACTTTATGGGGGCTTTATGAGTACTTGCTCTAGTGTGGTAGCCTTGTTGTTGTCTTTATGAGTACTTGCTCTAGTGTGGTAGTCTTGTTGGTTGCTTTATGAGTACTTGCTCTAGTGTGGTAGTCTTGTTGGTGGCTTTATGAGTACTTGCTTTAGTGTTGTAGACTTGTTGGTGGCTTTATGAGTACTCACTCTATTGTGGTTGACTTGTTGGTGGCTCTATGAGTACTTGCTCTTGTGTGGTGGACTTTTTGGGGGCTTTATGAGTACTTGCTCTAGTGTGGTAGTCTTGTTTGTGGCTTTATGAGTGCTTGCTCTTGTGTGGTGTACTTTATGGTGGCTTTATGAGTACTTGCTCTAGGGTGGGGGACTTGTTGGTGGCTTTATGAGTACTTGCTCTAGTGTGGTGGATTTCTTGTTTGCTTTCTCGTGGTGGACATGTTAGTGGCTTTCACAGTGTTCTAGTGTGATGGAGTTCTTGTTGGCAGCGTGTTGAAGTTCTTGGCAAAGCCTCGTGTTTGGCAACTTAAGAATATTCCCCTCGGGTTGAGATTCTCCTATCTCACCCCCAAGGGGGTGAAAGATTCTATTAATCTCACACCGGTAAAAGTGCGGATACACCAGTCCAGGGTAAGAGAAAAGGAAATCTCACACCGGTAAAAGTAAGGACAAATCTGTCCAGGGTAAGATAATCCTTATTCTATGATTTAGTAACTTCAGTTCTTACATAATGTATCAGTTTCTGGTACAGATGAATGTTTGTTTCTTTTACTTAAGATGTGTTCTATAATGTTGTTAAATTCGAGATCCAGAAATCTTGTGTGATATATCCTCCCATTGCCCCGTACGTACAGGTATACCCATATGTTAACTGGTTAACAAGTGGTTAACCGAGTTTAGCAGCGCATTTCGTTATGTATTGCGAAAAACGAGTGTCCCCGTTGTGAGATTATTTGTTACAGTAACCACCCCAAGGCTGATTAAACGTATTTGAAATGACCACACGATCCTCCTATCACCACAAACATGATAAGATCGTCTTTCAATCAACATTCACTTACCAGGGTTCCGCAGGCAAAACGTTCACTTTACACAATTCGTTTAATCGTTTTCACAAAATGCGGCTTATAAACCCAGCCACAGGAAACATACCGAGAAGTAACAACGTTATAGCTGACTGGCTTCGTAATAAAATATTCGCTTAACTGATCATAATTGTTACCTGCAACCGCTTATTTTAGAATTATTGCTTTACTGACGTATACATATGTTACCTGACTGGTGTACAGTGATTGTGTTACCTGTCTGTGGTGTACGGTGATTACGTTATTTATGTTACCTGTCTGTAGTGTACGGTGATTACGTTATTTATGTTTTACCTGTCTGTGGTGTACGGTGATTACATTATGTATGTTACCTGTCTTTGGTGTACGGTGATTACATTATTTATGTCACCTGTCTGTGGTGTACGCTGATTACATTATGTATGTTACCTGTCTTTGGTGTACGGTGATTACATTATTTATGTTACCTGTCTGTGGAGTACGCTGATTACGTAATTTATGTTACCTGTCTGTAGTGTACGCTGATTACATTATGTATGTTACCTGTCTGTAGTGTAAGGCTATTACATTATTTATGTTACCTGTCTGTGATGTGCGGTGGTGACATTATTTATGTTACCTGTCTGTGATGTGCGGTGGTGACATTATTTATGTTACCTGTCTGTAGTG